CAGGACAGATGCAGGGACAGCTCACCCAAGTGGGTCAAGCCAGCCCCCTCCCCCTCCCTGGGTTGGCTCCACCCCCAAAGACATCATAGATCCGGGAGGGAGTGTAGACAGGGCAGCCGGATGCCACTTTCTTGGCTTTAGGCCCAGACCCTGGGGGCTCCTAGAAGACATCAGGGAGCAGGGCTTGTCCCTGTTCCTGGAACCAAACCTCTTCACCTCTCCCAGATGCCCTATATCTTCATCTGATTCTCATGTTGAATCTGTTTTATTTGACCTTCAAAGGGGAAGACCAGCTTCTAGGACTGTCCTCACCTCAGGACCCAAGAGTCCTGTGGGGCTGGAGTCCCCAGTTATGCATGTCATGCATGACACAACTCCAGGGGGTGCCTCAAAATTAGAAGTCACAGTCCACATTTGAAGTCATGAGAATGTTCTGGAAGATGCAATAAGTGTCTTGAGGAAGGGTTTTTTTTTTGTTTTGATTCACACCAAGTTGCTTTGGGGCCTGTGGTGAGGGCCAGTCCTGTGTGGCCAGCCCCAACTTCCTGCTCCTGACCTGGCCTAGGAATACTAGCTAACATAGGGTCCCCTCACTCAAGGGTTCTCAGAGGAAGGGCTTGGGTTGTCAGAGTTCTGGTCCCTTGAAGTGTTAATGTTAGAATGTCACAGGGGAAGTCCTGTCAAAAACTCAGCAGCGCTGGACAAACAGGAGATAGTCATCTATCAGCCAACAAATGTTTATTGTTGTATTAGGCCTTCATTTCTGGTGAGAATGATTGACTTCCTTGGCATCTTTGCCTGAGTGTCTGCCAGGCCCTATTTCTGTGTATCTGTCCCTCTCTGGTGTCTGTCTGTATGTGCTGGGGAGGGGAGGGTATTGGGTTTTCTGTGGTGGCCCAGGCTCCACCCAGGTGTGATGGATGGAAAACTGCTTTGATACCGATTGGCCCGCCCTTCCCTACTGTCCCTACTGTCCCCTGGAGGCCCAGGTGTCCTTGCTCACTACTTGTTCTACTTTCCTGGGCCTGGTCACCCCCTTGGTTGCTCTACCTGTCAGCGCCTTCTGCACCCAGAGCTTGGAAAGGAAATGGAAAATTCCCAGCTCTCTCAAGCTCCCTTCCTGGCAGCAGGTTCTCAGGCCAGGGTCACCTTGGATTGAGTGCTGATCCCCCCACAGGGAAGCAAGTTGGAGCTGACAGCCAGGAGGGAGGGCCTATGGGGAGCAGCAGCCCATGGGATTCAATGTAGTGGGGCCCTGACTCTGAAAGGCTCAGTGGGGGGGTTGGGGGGACAGGACTGGTGATTCTCCAAAAGGGGACAAGGGCCAAGGTGGAAGCTGGTTAGTGTGGGTTGTGAACTATAGGCTGAGGCAGGGGCCTGGGGCCTGGGTGGTGGAAGAGGAAGCCCTGGAGGATGGGGCAGGGATCAAAGTTCTATGCAAGCCCTGGACCACCAGAGGGTTTGAAGGAGATCTATAGATTCTGGGATTAAGAGCCATTGCCCCCGGGGCCAATCAGGAGCCAGTCCCAAGGGACCTTTGAGCCAGGCTTGAGTCTCCCTCTGGTGGCCGTGTAGAAAACTGCAGCCAGGACTGCCCCTGGCTCCCTGTCCTGTTCTTCCTAGCTCTGTCCAAAGGCTCTGCTCAAAAGTCCCAAAGCAAACCTTACCTTCCTACCTCTCCTCAAGCCCTGCCTCCTTCCAAGAAGACCCCAGACCCAGGTCCAGATCCTTAGGCTGTATTTGATTCACAGCGGTCAGATCTAGGTTTCCATTGTCATAGTAACCATTCCCATTCCGCTTCTTCACTATGGATGCTGGAGACCCTTGGCCCAGGTTCTCAGGGTCACCTGTGATGCTGGCTCTGTGTTTGTGGGGGAGCACACAAGTATATCAGAGTCTCTCGCCACCCTTCTCTCCTTTTCTTAAGGCCTCGAGGGCGGCCAGTCATAGCCCAGAGTGGGCAGGAAGGCCTCAGGTGGGGAGATGATTCCTAGGGCCCATCTCACCTTCCCACCCCTCCTCAACCCAGGCATCTCGCCCCTCAGCCCCTCCCCCGATCCAGGCCACCAGCTGACTTCCCTCCACTGCCCCCTCCCCTCTGCTCTGGGATGGGCGCCAGGGTGAGAAGGGGACACTGGCACTGATCGTGTCTGGGAATTCCCGCCCACTGTGGAGCTGTGGGAGGGGGGTCCCCGTGTCCCTGAGGAGCCAATAGCAGCCGGTCCTTGCCCTAGGGGGCGGTGTAGTATATCTTTCAGGACAGCACCCCCTAGGCCCCGTCTCCTCTCTGCCTGCCTGGCACCAGCCAGACCCCGCTTTGCCGGGGGGCTCTGAGCCCCCCGAGCATTCCTTCAATACAACCTTCTCCTTTTGGGGGACCCTGAGGATTCTCTCCCCTCAGGGATGGCCCAGCCAGGGGTCTCTGTCAAATCCCTGGTGTCCTCTTTCGAGACCAGAGTAGTGGGGATGGCTCCGGGGCCACCCCGAAAAAGGGGCTGTGTCTCCTCCCCTAGTTCCCCACGGGGAGCATCCCCAATCCGAGGGGCACCTGCACCCCCACCCCACCGGGGCCTGGGGGGCCCTGGGCAGCGGCCCTCACCCCGCCGGGGAATGGACAAAACCCTGCTCCCCCTGATTCTCTACTGTCACAGGTACAGGAGGGCTATGGGCTGTCACCAGGGGGCTGGGGAGGAGGCCAGAGCCTGTCGCGAGGAAGGCAGTGGCTAGGCTATGCAGATGCCTGGCCCCCTTCTCACCTCTCACCTCCCTATGTCTCTCCAGCGGCTCCGGAAGCCTGGTTGGCATTGACAACAAGATCGAACAAGCCATGGTAAGAGAAGACATCTTGGTGCCAGGAGGCCCTGGCTCCCTTTAGCGGTCCCTTCGCCCACCCCTACTCTCCCTGTTACCAACACCAGCCCCCGGCCCCATCCTTGTCTGTGAGCCCTGCCCCCCTGCCCTTGCCCCTGCTGGTAGCCTTGCCCCCTACCCTCTGCCTCATGCCCTTCCTTCCCCGGAGCCCCTCCTCCTTTGGCACAGGGGAGTGTCCCAGCCACACACCCTCAGGCACTGGGCGCGGGATTCCGATGGGGTGGTCTGGTGGCCCTGACTCTTTGCCTGTCCCTGGACCCCCAGGACTTGGTAAAGTCCCACCTCATGTTTGCGGTCCGGGAGGAGGTGGAGGTGCTGAAGGAGCAGATCCGAGACCTGGCAGAGCGGAACGCCGCGCTGGAGCAGGAGAACGGACTGCTGCGTGCCCTGGCCAGCCCAGAGCAGCTGGCACAGCTGCCCTCCTCGGGGCTCCCACGGCTTGGGCCCCCTGCACCCAACGGGCCCTCCGTCTGAGCCTCCCTTCCCTCACAATGTGCCTTTGGGGGCTGCCATGGTCGCCAGGCTTTGCGCCAGCAGCCTGCCCCCTCTTCCTATGCAGCTTTAATGCCCCCTGACCCCCAGGGATGGGATTTTCAGGCTCAGTACTGGCCTGTTCCCCCCCTGCCCCCATCCCTGCCTTGGTCCTCAGGCCTCGATGGAGGGGGGAGGGCTCGGGATGGGGTGCTAGATGGAGCCCCCTCCATGAGAGATCCCAGCCCCCTCCCTCCCTGGGTGTCAGAGTTCTGGGTTCCCCAGCAGTAGATGGCTTGGGGGAGTCGGAGGCTCCCTGGCAACAATCCCCCCCACACTTTGTTCCCCTCAAAGTGCTCCCTCTCCACTGCCCAGGGGAGGGCATATGGACAGTGTCTGGAAGTTCTGGGTTTCAGGTTGTTATTAAAATAATAATTATAATTAAAAAATCTGAAGAAACTTGAATTTGGAGGTTGGCATGGCGTTGCTTGTGTCAGATCTGTGTGGAGGCCCGCTCCCGCGGCCTGAGCTCCCCTGGAGATCCTGTCAAGGCTGGGGAGGTGTAACGTGGCCGAGGCAGAATGGTAGACAGAGGCGCAGGAAATGGGAGTCAGTGGTTCGGGTCCTGGGAAGGGGGCGGGCAGGCCGGGCAGAGAAGTGGGGTGGGGGGCGGCGTCTGCCCACGTGCTGTGGGGGGAGAGAAACAATGAGGCCTTTGGTGTTTGTTCAGGATCCACCCCCAGCTTCCCAGCGTGTCCCCTCTGCGGGCTGGATCCGGGTGGCTGCTTGGGGGTGGAGCGGGGGGCCCTGAATGGGCCCCTTGTCTCAAGGCTGGGTGTGGGCCAGGCTCCCCGGGCACACAGTGCCCTCACCAGGCCTGGCTGGCCGCCGTGGCTTCCACCCCCAGCTGGCTGAGGACAGGCCCTGTGGGTGAGCAGGCCCCTCCCTGGCAGCCTGGGCTTGGGTCCCGGGCAGAAAGCAGCAGCCAGCCAGAAAGACCCCATCTAGTGGGGGAGCGGGGAGAAGCAGCAGTCGCAGCTTGAGGGGAACCCTGAGAGGAGCCACAGGAGACCCTGACCCGAGGGGAGAGGTGTGGAGAAGCCGGTCCTCCAGGGCCCACCTGGGTTGGGCCCCTTGCCTTCTAGCTCCTTAGATTTACAGTCTCAGACAAATTCTCCAAATTTTCTGAATCTCGGATTTCTCATGGGTATACAGTGGTGCTGACAGTCACATCAATCTTGAAGGGCTGTTTTGAGGATCACGTGGCACAGTACAAGGAAAACGCCTAGCACATACCAGACACTCAGTCAATGTCACTTTCCTTTCCCTGGATTGGTGGCAAGAAGAGTCGAGGCCATAAGCAATGAGCTCCGTGGGTCCTGGAAGGGCCTCGGGGGTTGGGACCAGGGCCAGGTGGCTCTCACAATGGACTAGAACTCTCTGTCACCCTAGGTTCTTCTGCACTTTGACTCCTCTCCCTGTCCCAGGGAGGGGAGGAAGGACCTGGGATGAGTTGCTGAAGAGATCTTTGCCCCTAGATTTCCTATTCCTTCCTTCCCTGCTGTGCTTGAGACTCTTCAGCTCCTACAAGACCCTTGTGGTGTGTCATCCAGTGCCCAAAAGCCTGTCCCTCTCCCCGTCCCACATGTTGGCCCTGTCCCTACTTGGGGTTCTGGAACGATGGCTGTGATCATGAGGTTCATCTTTTGGATCAGACGAGTTTGGCAGAGAATGACCTGTTGGGTGAGTTTCACATCCTGCCTGGTCCTCCTGGTGCTGGGCTGAGAGTCCTGGTCACTTCTAGATGCTAGTGCCCCACCACCACCACGTGGCCTCCATCTTTTGTGGCCAAACTAAATCTATGGGAGGTGGCCAGGGCTTAGAGATCCAGGGAGGGGCTTGAGGGGAAGAAGGCAGGGCTGGGGGGTTATACCCCTCCCTGGGTGTTTTTGTCCCCTTGACTGCTGCTCCTGCCGGCCCCCAATCTCCTGCCTCTCATGGGTCTTCTTTCTCAGGTTCTTCAGTGGAGACGCAGAGCCAAGCTAATCATCTTGGAACCCACTGACTCCAAGAAACAAGAAATCAAGGGGGTGGAGGAGACTACGGAGTTGGACACTGTCAAGTTGATCGAACCCCCCAAAGAGGCTAAGGTCACCACTCTGGAAGAGCACCCTGAGGTGGCTGAGGCCTACGTGCTGGCGAAAACCGTGGACGAAACCGTGGACGAAACCGTGGACGAGACTGAGCTGGAGCTGGGCCCTGAGCCTCGCTCCCTGCTACGACTGCCCCAGACAGCTGTCCAGTCGGTCTCCACACTCATGTTATCCGCCCTGCAGAGTGGCTGGCAGATGTGCAGGTGGAAGGTTAGCATTTCTTCACCGCCCCCAACCCCCAGGGACCTTTTCTTCCCTCCACACACTTGTTCAACATTTCCTGTGCCTCCTCTGAGGCCAGGCATGGAGGATACGATAGTGGATAAGATTTACCCAGACCTGGGATGGGACCATAGAAAAGATCATGAGCATGGATTTGTTCTGTATCCTGAGGGGTATGTCATAGGAAGTGGGGGGGGAACTGTGGGTACCCAAACCCAGAGAATCAAGGGAGGCCTTCCTGCAGAAGAGACAGCGAGACTGAGACCTGAAAGAGTTCACTTGCCTTGGGATGTGTTGTTAGGACAAGGTGGAAGGGAAGGGAGGGGTGTTCTGTGAAAAGAGGATAGCAGGTGTGTGCCATGGTAGTTTGAGGTGCGTGGAGCAATCTTGGCTGAAGGGCTAGTTTGTACAAGGCAGAGGTTGACCAAGTTGTGGAATTTGTACTTAACCCTAAGAGCAATGGAAGCCCTTGAAGACATTTGAACAGGGGAGCAACATGATCAGGTTTTGATTTAAAAAGCTCCCCTGCACTCACACATGGCTGCTGGAACTAGAAAATGGTGCAGACAATCTAGAAAAGAACACGAACGTTTCTTATAAATCTAAATACACAATTATCATATGACCCAGCAATTGAACTCCTGGGCATTTGTCCCAGATAAATGCAATTTCATATTCCCACAAATGTCTATATGTGACTGTTCACGGCTTTATCTGTAATAGCCCAGATCAACCCAAATGTCCTTCAATGGATGAATGGTTGAACTGTGATATACACATACCTGTATATTACTCTGTTTTCTGTTGCTATAATAAAATACCTGAGTTGGAATACTTTATAAAGAAAAGAGGTTTGTTTAGCTACAGTTTTGGAGGCTAAAAGTCCAGATTAGGTGGTACTGTGTGTTCAGCCTCTGGTGAGGGTTTCAAGGCAGATGCCATCACAATGGCAGAAGTGTGTGTGGAAGAGAACACATTGCCAAGATAGGAAGCCAGAAGGACTCAGGGATCAGGATCACTCTTAAGAACTGCTTTAATCCTGTCTGGGGGCATATTCCCAATGCCTTAAATCATCTTCCTTTAGGTCTTATTTCCTAAAGGTCCCATGAGCTCCCAACATCACCCTAACTGGGATTCAAGCTTCCAGCGTATGAACCCTTGGGGGTACATGCTCAAAACAAGTCCAAACTATAGCATTTTGAAATACCACTCAACCATACAAAGGACAAACTGTTGATGTATACGACATCAATTCATGATGAATGATGAATTGGATGAATCTCAAAGGAAATGCTCTGAATGAAAACAACCCCAAAAGGTTCTTTACTGTATGATTCCATTGTATGCTAAACCATTATTTTTTATTATTAATATTTTGGTACTAGGGATTGAGCCTAGGGGCACTTTACTGCTGAACTACACCCACAGTTTTTTTTTTCCATTTATTTTTTTTATTTTGAGACAGGGTCTCGCTAAGTTGCTGAGGGTCTTACTAAGTGGCAGAGGCTGGCCTCGAACTTGCGATCCTCCTGCCTTAGCCTCCCAAGTCGCTGGGATTACAGGTGTGTGCCACCATGCCTGGATAATACCATTTTTGAAGTAACAAAATTGTAGAAATGAAAAATCATATAGTGGTTTAATGTTTGTTAGGGGTTATTGTGGGGTGCTTATAAAAGGGYAACAGGAGAATCCTTGTGATGATAACTGATCAGGATCTTGATTGTGGTTGTTTGGATGCATACACCTATACCTGTAACAAAATTTTGTAGAATTAAACATGTACAAGCACATGCGCTCACACACACACACATGAATACTAATAAAGCGAAATAAAGTGAGTGGCTTGTATCAATGTCAATTTCCAGACTTTGATATTGCAAGATTTTCCTACGTAGAGAAACTGGGTAAAGGATATGCAGGATTATATTTATTTCTTAAAATTCATGTCAATCTATAATTGCCTCTAAATTCAAAGTTTAATTTAATTTAATATACTATTTACTTATTTACTTGCTTATTTTTGGTACCAGGGATTGAACCCAGGGTGCTTAACCACTGAGCCACATCCCCAGCCCTTTTTTATATTTTATTCTGAGAGTTGCTTAGGGCCTGGCTCAGTTGCTGAGACTGGCCCTTTGGACTTGCGATCCTCTCCCCTCAGCCTCTGGAGTCACTGGGTTTACAGGCATGCGCAACTTCACCCAGCTAAAAAGTTTAATTTTAAAAAAGGAAAAACGTCAAGGTCACTACCAAATCCACTAATTTTGGCCTTGAATCAAGTATGACGGCGTTAATAATCATTTTTAAAGTTCACCTGGCTGAAGGGGAGGGCAGTCAGAGAGGACCAGATGCCCTGGGGGCTGGCACCATCCAGTCCAGAGAGAAAGATGTTCTGGACTCGGGGAAGGGCATCGGGTCAACAGGTTAATGGATCTGAGCAATATTTGGGTGGTAGGGTTGTTGGGCCAGGTTGGTTGGGTGGAGGTCACAGGGAGAGGGAGAGACAGGGGGAGATGATTAGAGGTGCTGAAGTTGTTGGTGAGACATCTGCAAGGAGGTGTCCTGGAGGCAGTGGGACATAGAGGCACAGAGTTCTGGAATGAGCTCTGGGCTGGAGAGAGTGTCAAGGTGTCATTCATTCTGTCCTTCATTTTAACACCCTCTCCATGAAACCCTGAACGGGGGACTCAAAGGTAGGTCTGAACTGGTAGCTGTTTTTCTGGGAGTTGCAGTCTAGTGGAGAAAACAGAAGAGTCCACGGGACACACTCAAGGTTAGAGGGAATGAAGACCTAATGCAAGCTAAGAAGGCTTCCTGGAAGGGGTGCCGTCTGAGCCAGCCAGATAGGAGAGATGGGTTATCTCAGACCTTTGCTGTGCGTCTGCACACCAGGGATTGAACCCAGGGCGCTTTCTCCCAAGACACGTGGGCTTCTTTCTTTCTTTTACAGTCATCTGTGAGTTCGACCTCAGTGACCTCCCAGCTAAGGAGACAGTCCCCCCTGGAGACCCCAGAGGCTGAGATGCTGCGGGAAGTGTACCTGGTGCTCTGGGCCATTCGGAAACAACTGCGGCAGCTGGCCCGCAGGCAGGAGAGACACAGACGGCATCACATCAGGACCCACAGTTCTTCCCAGCTTGAATCAGTGCAGGGCCTAAAGCAGGATGCCCGAAGTCCCCTCTAGGGAGAACCTCAGAACCTCAGAAAGCCCCCACCTTTCTCTTGGGTAAGGTTGATAGGAGGGATCAGGGCAGCAGGCCAGAAGTTATGGATGAGGAGGTGTTTCCATACTGTCACCTCTCATCTCAACGGGAGCCCAAGGCCAGGCCTGGGGCCCCACATATTCCCCTTTATTGTGTTTATTCAATTTGTAAAAAAAAAAAAAACATAATAATAACAAAATATTGAGAAATAAATATCAAATGTTTCTGAGTATATGTAGAGTTTGCTTGTGAACAGAAGAGGTAATAAGGGGGGCTTGGGTGGGCTAGGAAAAAGGGGTACCTGAGCTGGGGGCCCAGATGTGTATGGGAGGAAGCCCTGGATCTGTTTGTAGAGAGCAGGGATCCCAGCTCTGGATCCCCAGATCCTTCTAAGGGCTGGATTGCCCTTGGCAACTTTGCCTGGCCAGTCAGAATAGCAATGATGGCCATTCATGGAGAACCTGCTAAGCACCCTAGCCATTCCATAAGGTCTTCAGGGTGGGTTATGAGACTTGTCCGTGGACTTGAGCTTGGAGACTTGTGATTCTGAATATGCACACTGGGGCTGTGGGAGACTCATCTGCTGGGTAAAAAAACTTTGGTCCGGCTTCCTGTGCTCTGCCAAGAGCTGAGTGCTACCCTTCCAAGGTCCCTGGAGGCCACTTAGACTCTGGGAAGGGACCCCACCCACGGGAGAGGTCTGGGCTAGGGAGACCAGGTAGGTGCTATGGCTGACCAGGGGGGAGGATGTGTCCAGCCGAGCAATGCAGGACCGACAGCCCTGAGAGAGGTCATGGAGATTTGGAAGGAGGTTCTGTGGTGGGGGACTGGAAGTACCCAGCAAAAGGAGAAACCCACCAGGCATGGTGGCACATGCCTGGAATCCCAGCCACCTGGAGGCAGAGACAGGAGGATTGCCAAGTTCAAGGTTAGCCTTGGCAATTTAGCAAGACCCTAGGCAATTTAATGAGACCCTGTCTCAAAGATTAAAAAAAATAAAATAGGAGATGGGGTTGTGGCTCAGTGGTAGAGCGCTTGCCTAGCACATGTGAGGCACTGGGTTCCATCCTCAGCACCGCATAAAAAATAAAGTTATTGTTTTCACCTACAAATGAAAATATTTAAAATAAAATAAAAAAGAGCCAGAGATGTAGCTCAGTGGTTAAGTACAACTGCTTTAAATTTCCAGTACCAAAAAAAAAAAGAACGGGAAATGAGGCGACCCTGGAGCCACAAGTTCCCTCTTGGGCTTAGCCTGCCCTCTAGTTCCACAATGGGAAGGTACAGAGGGGACTCCCCAAGGAAAAGCAGGGATATTTTACCAGACAACAAAATTCAGAGATTGGAGAGTTCACAGGGCTTGGGGAAGACGGCGATGCCTGAGGCCTAGGGGGCAGCAAATTCCCAGGGAAGGGGAGGGCAAGGAAGGGCAGGGCAGGAGGTGCAGACAGCTGTACTCGGTGATAAGGAAGTTACTTGTGTGCAGGCGCTGGGCTGAGCCTGCAGAGAGGAGCTCTGGGATGGTTTGCTGAAAATACTGAATTCACTAGAAATGTCAACCTCCCCCCCCCTCCCCCACACACACCTCTGCAGTTCTGGGAGAGTTTGGCCTCCGAGCAGCCATTCTGGAGTCAGGAGGAACACCCACCCTCAGCTTTGCTACCCTGAGCCTGTTAGGGATCTACCTCAATACATAGAGCCACAGCATGATCACCCACCACTAATTAATAACCTACTGTGACTATTTTTTATCAGTCTTGTTCTATGTTCTTTCTCCCCACTTTATGAAGGTTTTTTTTTGGCTTGGTTTGGTTTGGTTTCCTGTTGTTTTGTTTTTATGCAGTGCTAGGAATGGACCCCAGGGCCTGGTGCATGCTAAGCAAATGCCTACTGCTGAGCTCCATGTCCAGCCCTATCAGTAACATTTTTCAGAGGTGACACCAGGGACAACAGGGTCACTGGTAAATAGCCTTACAGGCAGCTACAGGCCCAGGAGCTGATGGGCCCTGAGGAACACTGCTCTCATTTTTTCTTGACTACTCCGTCATGGGAGCGGGAGGTAGACAAGGAAGCAAGGTTATTTCTGTCAACAGCCACGAGTGCCCTCCATATACCCAACTCCTCTCCTTCCCTAGACATGGAGTCCTGTTAGGGCTTGGTCAAGGAGAGACAGGGAGATTTGTGGAAGGGAAAGGGCTGAGGTGGAAGAAAATGGTCCACAGAACTTGTTTTTCCTTTGTTCACCTACTTGGCCTCTTTCCTGACACTGCCTAAGTAATCTAGCCTAGAGCCCAGGAGAAAGGATTATGGTAGGACCAGAGGAAGGACTTCCCAACTGAGCAGAAAACATGAGGTCTTCTGGGGTGGAGATTTAGGGAAGGAAGGGATGCTTACCCACTCTGCCTTTTTTTTGGGAAGAGAACAGTGGGGGACAGACTGACCTGGGGGCAGAAGGAAAACTCCCTTTTGATAACAGTTGAAGACAAATTCCACCTTAGACACGTTCCCTCCTTTGGACCCTGTTACTTCTTATCCCCCAAGATTGATTGACACCATGAAGCAGGAGTGGTAGGGCTACAGGGGGGCCAGGCTGGGATCAGGGATCCTCCTGTATTTTCAAATATCATCCATACTATTAGGGAGGGTGACTTAAGGATGTGAGAGCAAAAGGAGAGAGCCATTCTGGAGATCTCCTTGCTCCCTTCCCAATCCTGCGCCATCTTCCCCTCCTCCCCCACCATTATCAGATTCCCTGGAAATTTAAAATCTTCTTTCCTGCTTCTTCATTGGGATTCCCTCCTACCCACTGACCACACAGCAAAACAGGTCACTCCTGCACTAAAACCTTCCGGTGGCTTCCTGTCATCCCTGGGGAAAAAAACAAAATCAATCAACCAACCAACAAACATACCAAATGATTCTTGTTGTCTAAAACACCCTCTTTGTTACCACAAAATGACTGAGCCAGGTGCAAACTTCACAGATCAGCAGAGCCTTTATTCCGCAGTGGAGTTAGGCCTCTGGTGGACCCACTTTTCTGATGGAAAATGAGCCCCTGGTCAAAGGGGGGAGTCTGTGCTTATATAGGTTACACTGAGAGGTGATTTAATTATGGACAGAGCAGGTCAATTTGGGCAGTTAGGAAACAGGTTTGTGAGAATTTGAAATTTGTTTTTACTGGACAATATTTTTACTTGGAGAGGAGTGGAGGGTCTGAGGTCAGCATTCAGTGCTTATCTCTTTCCCTTCAGGGTCTTGTCATTGGGAAAGAGTTTATTTGGAGAAGGATCAGTGCTTTGGCTTCTTCCCAGAGACTGCCATTCTAGGCTCGATGGATATCTCCTTCCTGGGGATTGTTTTGCCACTGGATGATGTTTGCTATCTTTCTAGGGGTTGTCTTGTCACTGGAAAAGAATGTATTGGGAAAGGATCAATATTATCAATGTATTGCCTTCTTCCTCCCTCCCTCTTCCCAGGCCACACTATTTTGGGGTTTGTCATTTCCCATATCTTATACTAATACTCTCAGATCTTGGCACAGTGGAGTCCTGGGCCATCTGGATGCTGTGGAGATGTCATTCCTTTTTCATGGATTCGTCCCAGATCCCATGACCTAGAGATGGAGGGAGATCCACCTTCGAGGTCACACATTATTCTTTCATGGTAGTTAACAGTATCTGAAAAGATCATTTTTTGTTTTTTACCATGTGAAAGAAGCATGAAAGTTATCATAACCAAAATGCCGTCCCTTGTGTCAACCCTAATGGAAGAAGGCAGAGTTGGGTTCCTCTGCATGTTTGCCAGAGAGCAACTATCACAAAAGATCCTACTAGACCCACAATCTTGCACAGAGGCCACTGAGACCTTATAAAAAGGTATTTTTATGCCAGGCAGCTTTGGAGCTGAGGCAGGAGGATTATGAGTTCAAAGCCAGCCTCAGCAACTTAGAGAGGCCCTAAATAACTCAGTGAGACCCTGTCTCTAAATAAAATACAAAAAAAGAGCTGGGGATGTGGCTCAGAGGTTGAGTGCCACAGGGTTCAATCCCCAGTACAAAAAAAAAAAAAAAAACTTGTACAAGGACATCTGCCCAGAAACTGTTCAACCTCAGATGGACGCCATTCTTGCTATTAATCATCGTGAACAAGGACTACTGTTTCAAAATATCTGATGCAATCTTCTTCATTTTTGTCTTTAAAAATTTCTCCTTGCCTCAACCCTTTTGACTCTACCTACAGTTTACTACAGCATGCATATTCCCATTATAGTGCTCTGCTCCTCCCAAATAAATATCATCATTCTTTGGAGGATCTCTCTCTGTTTTAAATTTAGGCTGACAATGAATATATTTGGGAGATGGCAGTGAAACAGTAGTAGAGAGCACAGGAAGTGGTTTATAGTAACGCTTCCTGGACTTGTAACCTTTGGTGAATTGGTTATCTTTTCTTAGCCTCAGTTTCCTCATCTGTAAAACAGGGATAGTAGCAGTACCAGTATCATAGATTACCATGAGGGTCAGCGGAGATACCACCTAAGGGCTCCCTAAGTGTTAGCTGTTGCTATTAGAATAATGGTTTTCATAATATGTGGTTGATGGTGACCATACCTAAGGCCTAAGATAGGGCTGAATGAACCTTCACAGAAAGTAAATCTTCAAGTAGTGTGTGGGAAGCCTGCTCCAACCAGCTGTCTCATGGAGGGAACACCATTCTGGAAGAGATCAAGAATGTCAAGTGCAGGAAGCAGTAGGAAGAACACTTGTCAGAGAGGTGAGAAACCTTGGTCTTAGTCTCAATATTGCCACTGCTTTGTCACATGATGAGAGTCGCTGTCCTTCCTGGTGGTTAAGGCTCTTCAAAGAGAGTGGTGGGTTGAATCAACAAATGGCTGTGTTCCCTGTGGCTTCCAAGGCTCCAGTTCTGGGGTTGAACTCTCTTTTCCATTGCATAGGCCTCAGAATTTGGGGACACGTGCTCTTTTT